ATGGAACAACTGATTGGTTCAAAATTGGGAAAGGAGTACGGCAAGGCTGTATATTGTCCCCCAGCTTATTTAACTTATATGCAGAATACATCATGCGGAAGGCTGGACTGGAAGAAACCCAAGCCGGAATTAAGATTGCTGGAAGAAATATCAACAACCTCCGATATGCAGATGATACCACTCTGATGGCAGAAAGTGAGGAGGAATTGAAGAACCTTGTAATGAGAGTGAAAGAGGAGAGTGCAAAAAACGGTCTGAAACTCAACCTCAAAAAAACTAAGATCATGGCCACTGGTCCCATCACCTCCTGGGAAATAGAAGGGGAAGATATGGAGGCAGTGTCAAATTTTATCTTCCTGGGCTCCATGATCACTGCAGATGGAGACAGCAGCCCTGAAATTAAAAGGCGCCTTCTTCTTGGGAGGAAAGCGATGACAAATCTTGACAGCATCTTGAAAAGCAGAGACATCACCTTGCCAACTAAAGTCCGAATAGTCAAAGCTATGGTTTTTCCTGTCGTGATGTATGGAAGTGAGAGCTGGACCATAAAGAAAGCAGACCGCCGAAGAATTGATGCCTTTGAATTGTGGTGCTGGAGGAGGCTCTTGAGAATCCCCTGGACTGCAAGGAGAACAAACCTATCAGTTCTAAAGGAAATCAACCCTGAGTGCTCACTGGAAGGACAGATCCTGAAGCTGAGGCTCCAGTACTTTGGCCATCTCATGAGAAGAAAAGAGTCCTTGGAAAAAACCCTGATGTTAGGAAGGTGTGACGGCAAGAGGAGAAGGGGACGACCGAGGATGAGATGGCTGGACAGTGTCTGCGAAGCAACCAACATGAACCTGACACAACTCCGGGAGGCAGTAGAAGACAGGAGGGCCTGGCGTGCTCTGGTCCATGGGGTCACGAAGAGTCGGACACGACTAAACGACTAAACACACCACAGGGAAGAGGGCATTGATTTATTCTCCATTGCGCCTGAGGGTAGGACAAGAACCAATGGGTTGAAACTCGTCAGGGGGTTGGACAAGAGGACCTCCAAAGTCCCTTCCAACCCTATGACGATTCTATGATTCTATGAACCCCAGTTATATTGATTCTGCTATTATTTAAATCACTTTATAAATTTCTATTCACACGACACACAGGTAACATTGATTCATTTGGCCAGCCAAATTATTTTCTTCCACCTCACCAGCATGGCCTTTTTAAAAATGTTCTGATCCCTGTATCACTTCAAAGAAGAGTATAAGTACAGTATGTGTGTATATATATGTATGTATTAATATGCTTAGTGATAAATCACTTACTTTTTCTTTCATATTTTTTTCCACAACAGTTTATCATTTAACCTATTGTAACTGTCATTCCTCCTTTTGTGTGGCTTATAGTTAATCCCCATCCCCCAGCTTTTCAACACAGTTCAAGTCCTTTTAATGTGTTTATCAAGACATATCCCACCAGTGGCACATTGACTAACAGTTGGAAGTGACAGGACAAGAGCGGTAGATCACTTATGACTATTTTTTAGAAAATTTTAGGGCAGTGGGGATCCAGAAATAGGATGGAAAATGAATTGATTTACATGAGATGGCACATATAGCCTACAGAACCACACAAATAGCAAGAAATATACCGATTGAACTGACAGCCATGTGAACCGGCCCAGTGGTATATATACACGTGACTATACATAGAAATATATCAGTATTAAAGAAGGAGGAAAAAGAAACAGTTCAAATGGTCTATACGATTAGGCCTTCAAGCTAAAAGTTATTTACTGGAGAACACAGGCAACGCAAGTAGAAACCCTGATCTCCAGCTACAACACAACAGCCAAAATACATACTTGCTCCACTTAACGGCAGAGGCATAGAGAATACTTACAACAAAGTGGATGTTCTACGGCTCTGATGGTGTTTGTTCTTTTAAAATTGTGTTTTGTGAAAAGCTCAGTTCAACCTGAAAAATAACAAAAACGGAACAGCCATCAGAAAACACTGGAGAAGCAAATTTCACATAGAAGCAACCATGGGTGGGACTCAGATGCTTGAATTATAACACCTTCCCTTAAAATAGAAACCAATACATAAAAATTATCGTTCTGTAGAGAGCTACTTCACTCCAGATGTTGAACTGACTGTCCCTTGAATCTGCATGTTTATGGTTGTGTGTTAAATATTCAAGACATCTCATCTGACTGTGAAATCTACCACTAAGCTAGAGTCCCAATTAAAGTAGTACTTCTATTTTTCTGTGGGTAGAGGATGGGTTGCCATATTGCCCAGCTGAGCTACAGTAGTTTCACTCAGATTCTCGATGGGCCACCCAGTGCTCATTTAGACCATCAGCCAGCCTGAATTTGAAGCATTTGTTAAAAACAGAATTAAGTCTTAAGTCTATAGTTTTTGTAGAAGTGGAAGTAGCTATGGACCAAATTTGATTCAATTGTTTTGTAAGCAGCTAGTCTTCTCAACCACATTGCAGTCTGTTTTAATCAATGATTGAAGCCACTGATAGTTGAATGTCCAGCTGTTGATACCAATAGATGAGAGCTTTGTCAGATGAAAAGCAATATAGAGAGATATTATTTCATTGTCATTATTACCGTTGTTGTTGCTGTTGTAATTATACTGTATGGTATTAATAGCAATAATAACATTTAATATTTTAAAAGTGTCTTTGAGCACATGAATCACGTTTTCTGCATTAGCTCCGCAGATCCAAGTAAGGTCAGTATGATTGTTTCTGTTGTGCAGGTATGGACATGATGCTAGTTGGTGGATTCTGGGACTTACTGTTTAAAAAACTAACTTCCTGAAGTTTGGGCTAAGCACAGGAACAGTTTATCCATTTCAGACTCTGTACAGGGGTGGGCAATTAATTTCTATAGGGGAGCCACATGAAAAATCTGAACTATGTTCAAGGGCCAAACCAACTTTACTTAAAAATAAAATGAAATAATGATGTTATGATTTAAAAAAAAACTGTTAATCTTCACAAATACTAAAGAGTTTTTGTGGTATGTTAAAGATAAGCAACTGATCAACTTTAGACAAAAAGCTATAAATGGTTTTGATGTCTGGCGAGCCAGACAGGACAGGGCCGTATGTGGCCCTCGGGCCGCACTTTGCCCAGGTCTGCTGTAGCACCAACTCTTGGAGACTCCCTGGCACTGCTGTCTGGCCTCCCCTTCTTCATTTTTTCTCCCTCATGGCTCCATTACTCCTGATTTGCTCCACCACCCTGCCTGCTACCTTCTCTTCCTTCCTTAACTTCTCCCACCCCTGTTTCACCCACTACCTGCCTACCTTCTGTAAAGCAGCATAGGCTGCACATGCGGCCTTATGCAGCTTTAAACAGTGCAGGCAGTCAGACAGGAAAACAGGTGGTGGTGATGGTGCCACCACCGTTGCCATAATGTGAAGAACAAGGGAAAGGAAGTTCTGGCATGTACACCAAACCTGTTAATCTTCACAAATACTAAAGAGTTTTTGTGGTATGTTAAAGATAAGCAACTGATCAACTTTAGACAAAAAGCTATAAATGGTTTTGATGTCTGGCGAGCCAGACAGGAGCAGTTCGCCAGCCATATGTGGCCCTCGGGCCGCATTTTGCCCAGGTCTGCTGTAGCACCAACTCTTGGAGACTCCCTGGCACTGCTGTCTGGCCTCCCCTTCTTCATTTTTTCTCCCTCATGGCTCCATTACTCCTGATTTGCTCCACCACCCTGCCTGCTACCTTCTCTTCCTTCCTTAACTTCTCCCACCCCTGTTTCACCCACTACCTGCCTACCTTCTGTAAAGCAGCATAGGCTGCACATGCGGCCTTATGCAGCTTTAAACAGTGCAGGCAGGCAGACAGACAGGAAAACAGGTGGTGGTGATGGTGCCACCACCGTTGCCATAATGTGAAGAACAAGGGAAAGGAAGTTCTGGCATGTAATGTGGGCTGGGGAGAAGCAAGGTGGGGCAAAGAGAAGGTGACACTAATGAGGAAGATGGCAGTAGCTCCTTTTCTCCCGAATCTGGTGGCAAGATAGTCTGAGTCACCCCACACATTACTCCATTCAAACTGATTTTATAACTCTTTTTTGGTTGGACTGGTTATGTAGTCTGCTTGTGCTGGTTTGTCTCAAATGCAGAAGAATCCCTATTTGCGGGAAAGTTGTAATGTTTCAATATTTGCATTGCCTTCAACTGTCTGAAAGCATAAGAACCTCAGAAGACGTGGATTCAAATCCCTGTTCAGCAATAAAATTTACAGGGCAACCTTGTGCTGGTCATATTATCTCAGCCTGGTCTACCTTATACCCATCTCATATATGACTAGTTGTTTATTGCTGAAAAAGATCTAAGACAAAAACAGTGGTTGCTTCCTACATATATTGAAAGAAGTGATTTGAACTGGGGATTGTTGGGCAGAAGGCTCTGCTGTTTTCACACATGATTTGCATAATGACAACTAATTTATCTGATGGGGCAATCCAGTTATGGTGAACAAGAATATGGCCACCCTTGCAGGACAAGGTTGCTGCACAACCTAAAGAAAAGGTCAACTTGCTTGGATTCAAGAGTCTCAGGGAAACCAGCACCATGAAACTTAAGTCGGGAAACATCACCATCCAGCCCAGGGAAGGCAGATATCAAGCTCATAAGTGCCAAAATGCATGTTGCTCTCTTTCCCAGTCAAAGGGAGGCAGATGCTCCAGAAATGTATGTCTGGCCTGTCTAAGGCCATGCTGTACCACATGGCTTTCACATTCCATTCCTTCCATCTGATCAACCTTCACAATACCTTTGTTTTTAACAACAGATGCACCAGTACCATCTGCATGTATGATTTATCCTTGTCATGTAAAAATGATAAATACAGTGGTGCCCTGCTTGACGATTACCTCGTTAAATAAGGAAATCACTTTACGATGAAGTTTTTGCAATCGCTTTTGCAATGTTTTAGTAGGGAAAAACTGCTTTACGATGATCGGTTCCCTGCTTCGGGAACCGAGTTTTTGCTTAACAACGTAGGACAAGGTTGCTGAACAACCTAAAGAAAAGGTCAACTTGCTTGAATTCAAGAGTCTCAGGGAAAGCAGCAGCATGAAACCTAAGTCTGGAAACATCACCATCCAGCCCAGGGAAGGCAGATATCAAGCTCATAAGTGCCAAAATGCATGTTGCTCTCTTTCCCAGTCAAAGGGAGGCAGATGCTCCAGAAATGTATGTCTGGCCTGTCTAAGGCCATGCTGTACCACATGGCTTTCACATTCCATTCCTTCCATCTGATCAACCTTCACAATACCTTTGTTTTTAACAGCAGATGCACCAGTACCATATGCATGCATGATTTATCCTCGTCATGTAAAAATGCTAAATACAGTGGTGCCCTGCTTGACAGCTGTCAAACTTGGGTCCAATGCTTTCCAATGGGGGAGAAAAAAATTCACCAAATATTAACAAAGAGTCGGATCAAAGTCAAATTAAGTTTGCACACGTTTTACAAGGTGCTCTAACGATTCCAAGCATTTAAAACCATTTCCGAACCTTTTAACACACACTTAAAATTGAAAAAACAGACATTGCAAAACCATTGGAATGCATTGAAAAGGTTTCAATGCATTCCAATGGGGGAAACATTGTATCGCTTAGCGATGTTTCCTATGGGGATTTTCGCTTAAGGACGCCAATGGGAATGGATTAACCGGTTTTCAATGCATTCCTATGGGGAATGGTGTTTCACTTAGCGATGTTTTCCCATAGCGTTTTATTTTAAACCAATTAACATCATTAAGTAAGGCACCACTGTACATTGTAAAGCATTCATTCAAGGCTCTGAGTTGTATTTCACACCTTGTCATGATTTAAGACCTTTGTTTAATATTCAGTACTGAGTCAAAAACAAACAAAATTATAAAAGCACTGACTGGTGTTATATAACATAAAAGGTTTTAAACAAAAACCTAAGTATCAATTGAATATTAATGCAATATGTCTTCTGTTCCTAATATTGCTATTTTTTAAAGCAGGTGTTATCTCAAAGGGCTGAAGCTAGTTGCTGCTGCTGTTGTTGTTGTTAAAAATACAAGAAACAGTTTTCGAATAGTATTATATAATAGATACAAATTTAAAGCAAAAACCTACATATCAGTTAAATATTATTACTATTGTTTTTGTTGTTGTTACCTAGCATTGCTAGTGCATAGCAACAGACTACAGGATCAGGTCTAACAATTAGGAATCAGGTCCTATAAAACTGCAGTTGAGATGACATGTTCACAAAATGACTGATTTCTTTTTAAAAAATTTTAATATCATGTCCGTGATGCCAGCAGGAAAAAAGAAGTCAAGCTTTACATAGCAAGGGCAGCCTGAATGTTGGCAACACTAATGGCAACCGTCAAAATGGTCTACAGCAGTGGTCCCCAACCTTTTTGGGACCGCAGACCATCTGAGCCTCTTAGGAAGGTGGGGTACCGCTACCCCGCGCTCTTGGGCGCATGTGTGAAGTAGTGGGGGAGCATGCACCTGCCCACCAGCATTGGCGTGAGTGCTCCCCCCCCTTTGTGCATGCGCAGGAATCAAGGTCCAGTTTCATAGTTACTTTGTTGTTGTTTAGAGCACCCCTATCTTTAGCTGGTTTATGGCATGCTGAATCCTGCTATGAGTACAGTATGTTGGTGCCCTTCTGTGCAACAATAATGTGGAGGAAATGTAGTCATCAACATTTATCAATATTTTATTTTAAGAAGAGAGGAGAAATTTGCCTTTTTGGATCATAGCTGCCTCCAAAAAGCAGCATTCTGACTTCAAGTAATATTCAACAACAACAACAAGAAATATGATATCCAAACTGGAGATGGGCACAAAGTTAACAAAGAACCATGACGTTCATCGAAAATCACTAATTTGTTGATTTCGATCAATCTGGGTTCATCCAAACCTGGGAACGCAAACGTTCGCAAACCAATGAAATTTTTGAACAATTTTTGAATTTCCTGGTTCATTGCGTGCGCCCCTTCCAGCCTGTCCAGCCCCCTCTTCCCACTGCCCATTGCCTCCCTGCCTTGTCCTTCCACTACCACCACTGC